GTCATCGGAAGGGTTTTTTGAAATGCGGGGGGGGTGTTTTTTTTTTTTTTTTTTTTTTTCTTCTTGGTTTTAGACTGGGCCAGGAGGAAACTTTAGGTTCGGGTGGCGACGCTATCCGTTAGCCCGCCGGTGGCGTTTTGCATTGCCGGTCAGCACCAAGCTAACGGCCTCGGCGACGCCGCTTCGGTCGGGTTCCCCGTCGGTGGTGCCGGAAGGTTCTGACGTGCGCGCGCGGCTCAAGAGGCCGCGTGGGAAACGTAGTCATCACCCGTCCGGCGCTCCCCAAGTTTGCCGCACGCCGCCTGCGCGTGTGCAGGAACGGGCGGATGTTCGTGGGTTTGACACCTCCCGCAGTGCGGGCGTGTGCTGGCGCACGCAAGATGAGGGAAAGACGCGGGGGCAGGCGGGGATCGGGCCGCCGACGCCACGGCTCCCCTCGCCTCCTCCTCCTGCTTTTTTGTCATCCGCGGCGGATCTCGCCAAAATATCCGGCGGAGGGCTTCTGATGCCATGACTGCGGTTGTCCTTTCACTCAATCATTTCATCGTCGGTGTCATCGTGTCCTTTGAATGCAGTCGTCAGCACCGTCCACGCGGGCCATCGGCCGCTCGGATGGAGCCGGACGAGTCGGGGGCGCATCTCGCGCCGCTTATTCCGTTTGCTGCACTCTCATCATTGAAAGCCAAACAGAGCTCTCGATCAGTGGCAAGTTACGGTTAGCTGGCGAAGAAGATATGATGCTTACGGCTTATTTTGCCACCTGGGGGGTGTAGGGGGGGGGGATTTCTTTCATTGGATGATGACGTTGTCTTTTGTGCAGGTGCGTGTGAACGATCACAATTGGCTGTCGCAAATGGATCCACTTTGGTCTCCTCCAGCTCTTTCTCCTTTCTTGCCCTCCTGCTTTTCTCCCCCTCTTTGCACCCATGAAAAAGACCCCCCCCACCCCTTCTCCTCCTCCATCCTTTCTCCTTGGTCTCCTCGTTCTCCTTCTCCTCCGCCTCCCGCCCCATCCCAATCTGGCATCAATCGAGCGCTCTCTCACTCTTTCTGTTGAGTTCTCACGTCGGCCTGCGCACCCGCTTGCTTGGCAATCAAAGGGAGAGAACACACAAATGAGCGTGTGTGTGTGTGTGTAGGGGGTGTCTCACAGGGATTTCGGTATGAGTCAGAACGGGGGGAGGGTGGGGGGGCAGTGGGCGGCTTCTGGGAGACAAGAAGAAGAAAAAGAAGAAGAAGGAAGAGAAAAAGGAGACGAGGCTTTCTTTTGCGGGGCACTTTGCTCTCCAAGAAAACGCAAGAAAAAGACAAGATGAGCTCACGGCTCGCCGGCCCAGGGCGGACGAGCCGTCCGTCCGTTCTGCCGTCGCGAAGCCAGCGGGGCGATCCTCGCCCCCATTGGTGTGCCAGTGGCGGGCTGGCTACTTCACGTTTGCCCCCCCCCCCGCCCGTCGGTCACAACGGCAAGTCCCGGCGGCCTTCCAAATTCCAACGTGACCGACCCTCATGGCGAAGTGGGCCCACACCTCGCTACGAGCGGCTCCTGCGACCCCTCCCGGATTGCCATCGCCAGACAATATGTGCGCCTCTGCCAGCGACGCACAAAGAATTGGAAGCATATCAGTCAAATCGACAGATCCCAAAACAAGGCGGGGAGATCATTTGGACCGGGCCGTGGGCGGCAAAAGTGCGGCCAGCCCCGCGTCTTTGGAACGAGAAACGACCCCGAAGCGGGTGGTTCGCTTTGAGACATTGTGCCGCTCCCGCTGGCTGCGCCTTGGCCACCAGAGGGCAGTGTCAAGACCAAGATAGGGCGAGAGATCGGGAAAAAAACGTCACCGCCGCTCACAAAGCCGCAGCAGTATGAATGGTTCTTTGCCGAGGATAAAGATGACGTGCCCGTCAGTATTGTGAGATTGCCTGCCAAGAGTGCACAAATGGCGGAATTCTCCGGGTTTCGTCTTTAATCAAAAATGAAACGCTCTGCCCGTCTCAATCCGCCGCCCGCCGACATTCATCGGTGCAGGCAAATGTCGCCGCCCAGGTCCAAAAATCATTTTCCCACCAATTGGATGAAATTGAATTCTTTCCCACCACACGACGACGACGACGAGGACGATGAGAAGAAGATGCGCGGGAGCTTTCCACGCAAGAAGCCCCACTCCCACTTGCCCCCACCCTCGTGGCTTCTAAAGAGGAGCGCACGCGCCTCCGTGACGTCGCCGCACACGTACGCGTGGAGGTGAATCTTTGAATGGAGGCGCGAGCGACGCTCCCCCTCCCACTCCCTCCCCTCCCCTTTACGAGTTACTAGGGCATCACTATAAAAAGCTCACGGAGGACGGGAGAGCCGCTCTGTGCGGGAAGCGAGTGGCGGCCGCGGACACGAAGCAGATCACGACAAGAAGAAGAAGGAGGAGGAGGAGGAGGCGTGTGTCCGCGGACACACTTGACCATGCACGGGGACGCCGTCGCTGAACGCGTGCGCGCCACTTTTCTGGCACACGCAGGTCGGTGAGTGCCAAACTTGCGTTCTCGTCGAGCACGTCACACGGCGAGTGACGATGACGACCGCGATGATGAAGGTGAGCGTTGCTGCAGCGTGACTTCCTCGCGCGACTCCTCTTCTCCCGCCACTGTCACCGTATTGAGGGGTGCGCGCGCGCACGCGTGTCATCTAGCAGCGCGTGGTGTCTGTCCACTTCCGCTCGCTTGGACGGTCACTTTGATGGCTTTCATGCGGCGGGAGCCCCCCTTTTGCCTTATATGGACTT